TTGCCCGGGCATGGGCGCTAACGCGGTCGAGTACGGTAATTACAAATCCATCTCCTATTAATGGTTTCAATCTAATATCAATGACTTCATCAGCATCAAAGTGATATGTCAGATCACAAAATTTTGGACGGGGACTGTGTCATTAAAAATGACTTGTGTGAATTTGCGATCAAAAGAGGGAACCGGTGGTGAAAAGTTTAAAAGAGTTCATTAGCATATTAAAGTTCTTTGAACTTTATGTACACAAACAATGTGTTGTATACATCGCATGGGACTCACATTCAACACACATTTAAACAAATATTAACTACAGCTTTTTCTTCATACCTGAAACTTTCTTATCGCTAAAAAATATTTCATTCTTCTTATAACTTTTATTGCAGTTTTATGAGCCTCGGTTAATCTGAAGAAAAAAATAACATTTGTTAAGCCATCCTTTTTGTGGTGCAAAATACATTTTTATGTATTTTTCCTCTAATATGGACCCAAAATCCATAATTTAACCTTGTTTGCAAATGTATGGAGAGCAGTTAGGCAATTTAATCAAAAAATGTCAAAAGTTGGCACTGATGTTGACATGATTAAATACATCAATTAATTATTATATACAAATTTAAAAGAAAACAAACTCACTGCGTAACTCGACCATTATCTATCCCCAATATTTCCTCTATTTCTCCGTCTTCTTGCACCAAAAAATGGGGTGCACTCACTGAATAATTCATATGCTCTTGGTTACCTGTTGTATCACCTCCTCCCGTCCGCCTCCTCAGTGGGTTACCTTAAAACATAATGGAAGGTACTGAAATGTTGGGTCACACATAACATGTGGGTGATACCATTATATACTTGAGGGATTGCAGCATGGATCTGGAGGTGCAATTTTTTCAAACTACTGGTATATTGCAGCGTATAAAAATGCATTGTTGGCAAAACTTAGTTGAAAGCTCTTTTAATTCAATTTTGCCACACGCAGTTATACATTAATAAACTGAAACCTGACATATTATTTAAATTTATTTATTGTCTTTCCTACAACAAATTCAGTCATGCATTGTTATCTGAATTCTGATTTGAATACACACAATTATTAAACCTAGAATGTCAACAATGTTCAAAACTAACTCTGGTGCAGTGGTTATATGTGTAAAACAACTGTCCTATTAATTTAAAAAGGTCAGGACCTGAATAAAAAAAATAGGATCCTATTTTGGGCTTGTTTTATTTATTTATTTATTCATATATTTTATTTCTACATGTATTTTATTATTTAATTGCAGGTATTTTTTTTTAAAAGTGTTCGTAATTGCAAATGAGATTCCATAAGTGAATGGCTTAAATCTTTGTGGGCTTTTGGGATTAATGATTAACAAATCTTTAAAAAAAACTACCAGCAAATGAACATTAAATTGAGATAAAAAAATATAATATAAATAAAAAATAAAAAACAAATTAAATAAATATTTAAAAAAATTAGAAAACTCTAGAGCCCAAACTAGAATCTTATTTAATTCAGATTTGTACTGTATATGGTTGGCTTGGGTTTGATTTCAACATTTTAGGTTCCCAGTAACTTTGGCTGACTTAGATACAGGGGTTTAGTCTGAAAATTAGCATTTTTGCCAAAACGGCAACTAGCATCATGGGATATTTCTAATTATTTGTCACTTTTTAGGTGTAATGTTTGAACAGAATTAGGAAGTTTTAAAATTTTGAGTCACTGAAACGAGTGCAAGAATCTTCCAATCGTGGGTAGAAATGCAGAGAAATTATTTAACAAATATATAACATAGTGCTTTAAACCACACAGGGAACTGTGTTTTAACCGATGAAATCTTTTATTACATTACCATTTATAATAATCATGCATATTTTCAATGTTTGATTATAAATATTTATAGCATTTGACAAGTCTACAAAATATGTTAAATAGATGAAAACACAGCACTCTTTTATTCTATTCTACTCTGTTCTAATCTAATCTAATCAATCTAATCTAATCTAATCTAATCGAAGACTACTTTATTTCACATTAGTGGTGTTCATGTTAGAGATCACTCGGAGCCGAGGCGGCACGTGCCGAAACTTGTGAGTGAAAAAAACTCAATCGCGTTCCCGATAGATGCTTGAAACTGAAATGTAGCACATGACTAAATCACGACCTCGGTGGTAAATTTAAGAGAACAAACACGGATTCATACTTATGAAATGACGATGAAGAGAAATGCAGATATATATGGTCGAATGCTGTAGTAATGAGTGAAATGAATGCAAATCGTCTTCCAGCGACTCATATTTATGTGCTGCTGCAACCGCTATTTTCTTGCAATGACATGAATCTTCTTTGCCGTTCATCTGCATGATGGCTCATAATAAATACCATAACAACAATTGGATATAATTTCAATGGAGAAGTTTAAGATTTGCGTACGTAACAAGAACGTAACATGTTGTTCTAATTTGGTTTGCGTTACGTTCTCGAGTGTCAGAAAACGATTAAGTACAAGCGCCCACAACGGGAACGTAACTGAAACCAGAACCATGTCAATCAGTCTCTCATTGGGCAACCATCTATCCAATAAAATTTGTTGTGTCATTTCACGTCCGTAAACTGAATTAGTAGTTAGTTCCCAGGCATTTGACAGAGCTCTCGTTATTTCCACCCACTCTGCTGAGATCCTAGGCCTGTTTGCCGAATCCTCTTTCAGCAGATCAATGTCATACGTTTTCAGTGGGTATAAATATCGGCTAAAATGCATCCAATATTTCTTATTTTATCATAAATATAGAAAATCACTAATATAAAACGTTTTATCAATATCAGTGAGAATTAATCAAAATTGACAGCGAGAAAAGCTCTCGGAAATCAACTACGAGTCAGTCACCTTGATCACATTCAAAACGACTGCCGTACGACCAGGCAACCGATGATGTCATTGGTTCGCGTGGAGGTCATGCACAAAACAGTGACGTATCTGGTCTCTTATACACATCTTAATGTCCCTAATAAAGCAATTGTTATTATCATCATGCGTATCGTTTTCAATGTTTGGGTCAAATAACAGATCCACGAATGAGGGCGTGATTTCGGCACAAGCTGAGTCGGTCCTAAATGGGTCCCGACTAACGTGAACGCAACTGCTGTAAACCCTCTGCAAACACAAAGGATTAAACATTTCGGCACGTGCCGAGATCCCGTAACGTGAACGTTGAAATTGAGTGTTAGTTAAGATTTAGTATATAATCAACTACTAGAAACAAGTATTAGAATTGGAGATTACTCCAACAAAAACAATACAAACAATGGATTCTCATTTCTGTCTTTAAATTCAGGAGGTGAGGTGTATTTTTTTTTAAATAAAATTCTGATGCAGGTGATCGTCAGAAACAAATAGTTTGCATATTTTTGCAACAGCCGAATATATCATCCATAAACAATTGTATATGCACAAGTAAAATTTTGGACAAACATTTTTTTTTCAGCTTATTGTAATGATATTGTAATTCTATTATTCCAACTAAGTAGATGAAGTCTTACCAATTGAGTTTAATATAAATATAAAACAAGCAGCCTGTCGGCTGAGATAGCTCCGCTGTTAGCAATGCACATGGCAATTAAAGAACAGAAGATATCATTAGAAAATGAACAAATCTGAGAGAGGTCCACATGTAGTACCTATATATGTAATATCAAAGCAAATGGACTTGCAGTTTTTAACAAGAAGTTGAAAATATCACTTTTTACCAAAAATGACAAAAATATTCACCAAAATTAGAGAATTAAAGATATCAACATGAAATGAACAAACCTAAGAGAGGTATACCCAAGGTACATATACACCAAGTATCAAAGCATTCAGGCTTGTAGTTTTCAAGAAGAAGTCGAAAAAGTAAAACATTGACACAGACGACGACGGACAATCACTCATATGATAAGCTCAGCTCGACAAAGTCGACAGCGGAGCTAAAAAAGCAAACTATGGTTTCACTATGTTACATCAGAACACATGTCAATGGCTATAAAATGATGGAATCAAATGTGTGTGGATGACATGTTAAATGTGTGTGGATGACATGTTAAATGTGTGTGGATGACATGTTAAATGTGTGTGGATGACATGTTAAATGTGTGTGGATGACATGTTAAATGTGTGTGGATGACATGTTAAATGTGTGTGGATGACATGTTAAATGTGTGTGGATGACATGTTAAATGTGTGTGGATGACATGTTAAATGTGTGTGGATGACATGTTAAATGTGTGTGGATGACATGTTAAATGTGTGTGGATGACATGTTAAATGTGTGTGGATGACATGTTAAATGTGTGTGGATGACATGTTAAATGTGTGTGGATGACATGTTAAATGTGTGTGGATGACATGTTAAATGTGTGTGGATGACATGTTAAATGTGTGTGGATGACATGTTAAATGTGTGTGGATGACATGTTAAATGTGTGTGGATGACATGTTAAATGTGTGTGGATGACATGTTAAATGTGTGTGGATGACATGTTAAATGTGTGTGGATGACATGTTAAATGTGTGTGGATGACATGTTAAATGCAAAAAGGTGGAATTTAATCCTTTAGAGGGGCAAAATTTTTCCCGCCAAAAATTTTGAGCAACATTTTGATTACTTTTAGGTAGTTTTGATAATTATGGACAAACTGTACATAATTTACCATAATTTGTTTTGTTTAAATATAATCACATGAAAAAGACCATATCTCACCAAAACACAATTGCATGGGGAAACTGACCATACACAAGAGTAATTTCATGTGAAATGCGATGTGAAAATGGTCGAGTAGTTGCCATTTTTGTAAAATCGGTCATCTGTTGGGAACTGTAGAAAACTGTGATGTAGGATGAACACTATTACGAGAAATAACACATAAAATCGTCAGTGAGAGGCTGTCAGAGGGACACTTAGCCCCTCAGGATAGCAAAATATTTGAGATTTCGCCAAGGGGTTCCGATAACTTTGTACTGTAATCCTCTCGTGTCCAATCACACTACCATCTTTTTCCAACTTGCAAGTATATGCTATATGCTTTCAGTTTTTCATTTCAGCGATGATAGTTACAAATTGACACAAATTTCGGCTGATGTAGCTCCACTATACAGTTGATAATATCTTTTTGTAATAACTTAAACTATTCACTTAAAAAAAAGAATTGAAAATATTGTCACAAAATGAACAGATTGACAGAGATCTACCCAAGGTGTCTATGTATAGAATATCAAAGCATTTGGGCTGGCCATTTTAAAGAAATAAAAAAAAAAAGCATTTTTCACCCAAACTATTCCCTTAAATTGAATGTATCATAACAAAATGAACAAATCTGACTAAGGCCCACTCGAGGTGTTCAAATATAAAATATCAAAGCAATCAGGCTTGCTAGATTGGCAAACCAATCCGATGAAAATATACATCGTCCCACTATTTTTATTATGAACAATGGGTTACACAGTTACACACACACGGAAAGACAGACGAACAGACAGAACTCAAAACACAAGTTCCCTACATCCAACTAATTATTGCAACAAGTGCTAGAAAATTTCTTCATAAAATATAACAACTTGAAGCATTTATCAATACCATACCAGAGCTGGGGGGGGGTGGTAATATTGCTTGGACCATGTAATTTCTTGATTGAAGGGCTATAGCATTTGTGCTTAAAGACAATGTCATTTTTTGCTTTAAAGGAACTTGTCATTTCTTGATTTAAAGGCATGTCATTACTGGGAAGTTTATGTCATTATGTCATTTTTTTTCATGTGCCATGCCATTTCTAGGCTAATGTCATTTCATTTTTAAAGATCATGTCTTTTCTTGTTCAATAAAGGTCTCGCCATTTCTCCATGTTATTTCTTGCTTATCGGTACATGTCATTTCTTAGGCCGAAGTCAGTTTTTGGTTGGATGCTAATGTCATTTCTAGCTGTCATTTTTCACAGTCCATGTCATTTCTAAAAGACCCATATCATTTTTTGAAGACCACGTCATTTCTTGCTGAACAAATTAAGAATTAAAATTCATAGGAAAAAAACAAAAGCAAAACTCAGAGTCCACACAAAACTTAGGATTAACTTGAGGCAAGTCGTGTCTCCCTGATCAGTATTTCAATCGTACAATATGCCATCAACTATATGTTTATAGAGAAATAGCTTGCTTCACGACTCAAGGTAACAAGACGTTTATTGAAACAAAACACTACATTTTGCAAAAACTATGATATAGAGAACTTTTGTGAATCACTGACTTTTTAACTCAAGTGAAGTTTTATATACAATTTACAATATTTCTTGTACTTTACTGACCTGCAAATTTGTCTCTCAATATTTCAGCAGTTTACGGTAAATTTGCAATTTTATTTGTTACTTCTTCCTAATAAGTTTTTTTATTTCAAAATATAGCTCACAGAACAGATGTTTGTTTGTGTGGTGTAACTGTATAATCACTACCCATTTTGACCCTTTAGCTTGGTGTAAAAAAACAACAAGAACAAATAACAAACAAACAAACAAAGGACCACTCAGCCCAATATATAAATGGGCAAATCACTAAGCGCTATGACAGCAACATTAGGCCATTCTCATAGATGGCGCTAACATGCAAATGAGTTAAAAAATGGAATGAATGATACGTGCAGGAAAAGAAATCCCATGCAAAAAATCTTGGGGGAAAAAAGCTATTACAGATAGAGTGAAAAGAACAGTCAAAAACTTGAACAAACAGGCTATAAAACAAAAATCATGCATTTTCATTCAAAAGAGTAAAGAAGCTTATACCTTGTGTGTTGACTGTCCCAACTGTTACATGATTTTGAGGCGTTGAGGGGGATGAACACTTAGACCACAGCTTAGTACAGGGAACACAGCAGGAGCCTTTAAACATAGGCCACAGGTGTACGAGGGTGAAATAGGACAACAGGTGAAAAAAGACAAAAAAGACAAGATGCAAATTGAAACAACATTTAGTGCTACCTTGAAGACATGATGACAATAATTACATAAAGTGCCATATAAGAAAATGCATTAACATTGGTACCAAATAAAGAAAATCACTATTAGCATATTTGCCATATATGGAAATGCTGATGCACTAATATGGAAAATTGCTGACAAACTATTAGCATATTTGCCATATATGGAAATGCTGATGCACTAATATGGAAAATTGCTGACAAACTATTAGCATATTTGCCATATATGGAAATACTGATGCACTAATATGGAAAATTGATGACAAACTATTAGCATATTTGCTATATATAGAAAAGCTGATGAACTAATATGGAAAAGTGCTGAAACTGATCATTACCAACAAATTCTATGAGGAATTGTGGGTATTCTCATTACCATAAATGCCTTATAAGGACTTAATAGGTCAAAGGTCAGGGAGCCATTGTGCAGAAGAAAACAATAATGAACAAATGTGTGAAGTACCGTATGCCCAAAATGTAAGTTGTTTTCAAAACGCAGTAAACTAAAGTGATTCCTGATTGGATGGCATGTTGGGTATTGGGGTTTGCCAGCCAATCAGGGCTATCTTGTAAAAGTCTTTCAAATTACTGAATTAATTTCAAATATTCAAGAATTTATCTTTTTTTTTCTTTATGCCCAAACATTGCTATAAGTTGAAATCTCTTTTAACGAAAGAAAGTTCAAAGCTCGGTTTGAAATGCAAGGAATGTTCTCATTCACAGCATGCATTTTTATTATACTTTTTGCTGTGCAAATTTAGAGCGAAACAACTTCAAAGCAACAGGTAACTTAAGTAAGGATTATGACAAATCAAAAACCAGCTTTCAGAACAAATGCATGACCTCCTTGGTTAGAAATGGAGTGTATTTACAGTGGATGCATAAAAGCCAAAAATTCACTTTTTTTACAGTGCCTTTAATATGTAAGGTATTGTTACCATTTGGGAGGGGGTGTCACATTAAATGCTTAAAAAAAAGTGTTCAAACTAATTAAAGTTGTATTCCCACTTTGTACGACCAGTAATAAAAATCTAGCGCTGATCTCTGTATTAAATCATCATGAGAGCTTTGAAATTTTGTCCAGTTCATCTTTTACACTAGCATCCTGCGATAATCTCCTAAAATGAGTGAAGTGGCCTTGAATGATTACGACAATGACAATTCTGTTTCATTTGGTGACCACAACATTCAGCGCAGGCTTGCTACAATGCTCCAATATTTCTGGATTTGTTGCCATGTCAACTGATTTTATTATATTTCATAGCGATCACAATAATACAGAGTAGGAATGCAACTTAAAAAATGTAAATGATAATACTGTAAAATGATTAATTTTCACTGGGTTTAAATTTCGCTGATTTACCATTTCAGGCATATTCAGTGGGTTTTAAATTCACGGTTTTATCATTTAGATACCCGGTAATGTGTTCTATGCTAAATTTTATTATATTCACAGGGTTTAAATTTAGCGCATTTCCCAGTCAGCGAACTAAGCAAAATTAAAACCCAGTGAATAATTAAGCATTTCACAGTATGTAAAAAAGAGAATTGACGTATATGTAATGAATCAAATTTTTCAATTAATAGGACATGTTGTCCACTCCTAATTGACCAGATCAAATGTAAATTCAATGCAATTATTTCACCATTACCTGTCTGTGGTTCGTCTCGATACAGAATGACGTCCTGGGAGTTCAACTGTTTGTCGCTACTCGTTGCCGGACACGAATATCTCTCCCCTAATTCTATGTGATTTCCTACTGAATCTTTCTTGCTTTTTTTTCGTCTAATAAGACTAAGTTTTCTCGTAGTACCTCCTCCGTGCTGCTCAGTGTGCAGTAAGTGATTTTTGGAGTGAACTAAGTGAACTTTCCAAATGGCTTCAGATTTGAAATGTCCCTCTGCTGCAAATACCCTCCAAGCACACTGTTAATGAGATTATTTTTTCGTTATCATAACTTTCAAAATGAACAAAACTATTATTCAGAGAGTCATTCAGACAATTATAAACACAAATATAGATTTCAATTACACAATTATTAGCATATTTACCAAATATAGGTTTCAATTGCACAATCATTAGCATATCTACCAAATATAGGTTTCAATTACACAATCATTAGCATATTTACCATATATAGATTTCAATTACACAATCATTAGAATATCTACCATATATAGGTTTCAACTACACAATCATTAGCATATTTACCAAATATAGGTTTCAACTACACAATCATTAGCATATTTACCAA